AAGTCTGACTTGATATTTATTTTTACTACTGATGAAATAAAAAAAAGTATAAAAAGTCTGACAAATTATTTACTATAATACTACTGAAAAATTATAAATGGTTAGAAAGTCTGCATAAATATTTTCTTATACTACTGATAAAATAGAAAAATCAAATTCTGATCGAATATTTACTTGTACTACTGAAAAAATTAAAAATTTTGTAGCAAGTCTGACTTAATATTTATTTGTACTACTGATAAAATAAAAAAATTAAGTCTGACAAAACATTTACTAATACTACTGGAAAATTATAGAAAGACTGACTAAATATTTCCTTGTACTACTGATAAAATTGAGAAATCAAAAGTCTGACCTCTTATCGACTCGTACTACTGAAAAATTTACATATTTTTATAAAGTCTGACTGCATATTGACTTGTACTACTGAAAAAGTTTCATATGTTCAGTAACTCTGTCTTATTATCCATTTATATTACTGATAAAAAATAAGGCTGGCTAAATATTTACTAATACTACTGAAAAAATACAAATTATTAGAAAGTCTGACTAAATATTTCTTTGTAAAATAAAAAAAATAAAAATTCTAACTGCATATTGACTTGTACTACTGAAAAAATTATAAATGGTTAGAAAGTCTGACTTAATTTTTACTTTGATGAACTAAATTTTACTATTGTTTTATTAATTTATTATTTATGACTTAATCCAACTTCTATTACTGATATAATTATAAAAAATTAAGAAGTCTGACTAAATATTTACTTTTATTACTGAAATGTTTTTTTTGGATGTGATTTAATTACAATAAACTAAATGATTAAAAGAATAAATGTCGATTATCTCTCTAAATCTGAATTAGTAAAAAATTAACTAATTCATTTAGTAAATTAAATTTTAACTAATGAATTAGTTATTTTTGGAAGTTTTACTAATAAAATAGTAAAAAATTAGTATTTGAACATTACTAATTTAAAATAGTAATCAAATTAACTAATTCTATTAGTTATTACACCCGAGTTACTAAATGAATTAGTCAAATGAACGTAACCTCTATTATTTTCATGACGTATGTCATCTTCCATGGGTTTTTTTTAAAATATTTTTTTGTTTTTTTTAGTATTATGTGATACTATAGCTTGTACTATGTTCAAAATATTTTGTTTGGTGCTTTAAATATTACTTTTGAAATTATTTATTTTTCAAAAAATTTTTTGATATAAACTAACCGTTAAAATTTTTTTATTAATTTTATTTCACCAAAAGTAACTATGTATGTGTATCTAAACTGTCTTTAAGTAAATTAATAAATTACTATAAAGTGAAAATTTTAATAAAATCTTTACTCAAAAAAAATCGGAAATAATAAATCAAATGAACCACCAGAACGTAAAAAATTTTATATGAATTCTGCCAATATTATGCAATTTAACCCATGAAAACTGACTTTTAAAAATAAAATATTTTTTATACAATCATGAAGAAACTACATGTGAAAAATTTTATCTTTGAAACTCGACTTTTAAAATTTAAAATTTTAGTATGAATAAGTTGATAAATTTTTATTGATTATTTACGATTTGGCGTTAAAATTGTATAATGACTAATGAATTAGTAAACAATTAGTAGTTTTAACTAATCAATTAGTAATTTGCGCCCCCGGGAGCCGCATTAAAAAGTTACTAATTGAATTAGTTAAACCAAAATAACTATTTGAATTAGTAAGTTTTTACTAATTATTAGTGACTCACTTTTTGCTTTTTGAATTAGTAAGATTCTACTATTAATTAGTTATTTTTAACTAATTCAGATTTAGAGAGATTATTTCCCTTTTTTTTGACATTTTCATTTAACTTAAATAAACAAAACAAATATCAGTACAGAAAACATTAATTATAATTAATCTCTAATCAAATGAAAAGATATTATATATTGTCTGTGTATATAAAACCAAATAATGTCTGCTTGGGAAAAATGACAACGAGAAAATTAATTAAATTCTTTTTGGAAAATGTTTGCACAAGACAACACCACCGTGTGATTAATGGCGATATATAGCTCTTAAGAGTTTTAATAAACTGTCATAATATAAAGTCTTATATATCGTATATATATACGAAGCAAAGGACGCCACTATATGAAGCTTGAAACATTGAAATGGATAGTCGAATAGATTATTGTAGGGGGCAATTAGACAATTTGGTTGTTTGTTGATAACAAGACTCGAGCGACGTGTTAATGGCCACAGGACGACCTTGGGCTTGGGAATTTGCTGAGAGAATGGCAACGAGCCATTGGCGCGGTCCCATATCAAAGGTGGAGGTAGGACGAGAGAGGTTAGAGAGAAGTGAAGGGAGGGGAGGGGGGGATAGTGTAGAGGGTTGATTTGAAGCAAGGCTTAGGGGTGGGGATGTAGTAATTTGTCGGCTTGCGAAGGCGGCTGGCTCCAAGCTGATAACAGGAGGTGGTCCATTCTCCTACGATTCGACCTCCGGATACTCAAACCCCTGTTTCACTTACAAACACCCTCTAACCTCCTTTCTCACTCCCCTTGCCCCCCCCCTTTCCTACGAAGCTATTCTCCTCATGTAAGACGTCCAGCTACTTTTCTTTTTTTTTTTTTATTTTCATTCTTTTTTTCTTTATATATATATATATATATATATATATCTTTTCCTCATCACTCACTCCTCTCTTTTCCTTTCATTTACTACGTAAAACGAAAAGTTAACGCTTCAGTAAAAATTCAACCAGAGAATCTATTTCTCAATTGTTAAATATTCTCTCAAATATTTTCATAAAATTGGAGAGAAATTGAAATTTTTTTTTTTTCATTTATATTGTATGGTATATTAGTTATTTAAAAGAGGGGAAAAAAATTTAATTACATATTTGCAATTGTTTTTTCTAAATGAAGGCTAATTAAATGTTTTATAAGTGGTAAAAGTTGGTTTTAGTCAAACATTAGGATTTTGAATAAAAATTTTATAATTTTTCTATGAGATGTAAAAGTGAGTTATTCAAGCATGAAACGAGAGTAAATTATTTGTCTAATTCAAATAGCAGTAGTAAAAGTGAGTAAGAGTCAGACAATTTAAAAAAAAAATGGGAAATTTAATTATCAGTAGTAAAAGTAATTCAAAGAGAGGTGTTTGAAAATTTATGCCTTAGGTATCAGTAGTATTAGTTAGTTTTGGTTAGACGAAATTTTGACGAATTTTTTTGTTTAGTCCTGAGTAGTAAAAGTGAATTACAATCAGACGGAAAGTTGGGAAAAATTAAGAAATTTAAATATCAGTAGTAAAAATGAGGTTTAGTCAGACAGAGACTTTTTTAAAAATTGTGTCATTTAACTATTAGTAGTAGAAACAAATTTTGGTCAGGCAGAGGGGTTGAAAATCCTTGTAACTTTTTTTAAAGTAGTAAAAGAAAATTTTAGTCAGACAGAAAGTTTAGGAAATCTGTAAAATATAGCTTAGTTTAGTAAATTTAATCAGATACAGGGGTTTAAAAAAGTCATGTAATTTAATTTATAGTAATAGTTTTTTTAGTCAGACGAACTTTTGCAGATTTTTTTTTTTTGAATTTTTCCTGAGTACTAAAAGTGAGTAACTGTCAAACATTTGAGGAAAATCTGAGAAATTTAGCTAAAAGTAGTAAAAGTAAGTTTTAGTCAGACATATTGTTTTTAAAATTTCTTACAGTTAAGTTTTAGTAGTCACAGTCAGTTATAATCAGACACGACATATTAAAATTTTCTCTAATTAAAATATAAGTAGTAAAAATTATTTTTAGTCAGACAAACTTTTTTGCTAGCTCTTATATATATTTCAGTAGTAAAAGATCATTTTCATCAGACGTAAAGCTTGAAAAATTGGGTAATTTAGCTATTAGTAGTAAAAGTAAAATTAATTCAGACAGGTTTTCTTTTGTGAAAGTTAGTACAATTAGTAGTAAAATTCGATTTAACTCAGACCATAATTTTTCCAAAAATTGTGTTTCCTATTATTTTTATTATAAATAATTATTTATTCAATTAGTAATAAATTTCTGCAAAGCAGAAAATAGAAATAATTTCGAAAAAAGAGATTTTTTTCAAGTACTCCTAACGGAATTTCAAGCGAAAATTGTACAACTTGTTGCCTCGATTCTTCATTCAGAATTTTAAATCTTTAACGAGATTGAATTTTAATCTGTATAATCTGATTTTAAATATTTTAACAGCCTCTTATCGTATTTAAAAATATGAAAAAAGAGATTTTTAACAAGTGAGAAAGTACTTCTTTTAATACCACTTGCCTATAATTTTTTTCCCCCAAGAAGAATTTGTTCCTTTCACTTTTTAATTTGGTAAACTTCATCCACATAAAAATACATCAACCTTTTCAGTTTAAAAAAAAAAAATTGTCTACATGCTTTTTTTTACGTCGAGATAATTCCCAGAAATTTTCCCCCGGCAATCATATATGAGATAATAATCATTCGAGATTAAAAGAGCTTTTAAAATCTGAATAAAATCGTTTTTGATAAAAGCTTTCGAAAAATTGAAAAATCCAGAGAAAGTCAAAGGCAAAGGAAAAGCTATTTGAAAAAAAACTGGAGGTTAAAATAAAAAAAAAAAAAAGAAGAAGAAGAAGTGGGGTAAAGTCAACTGGAGCTGAAAAAAATCCCGCAGCAAGCTTGTAATTTTCTCTAGACTTTTTTCTCAATTATTTTTACTCTCTGTTTCTCTTTTTTTTCTCTCTCTCTCTTTCTCTTTTTCTCTCTTGGGGAATCCTGTGCGAAAGCAAAAGGTACCACTAATTAAGGGCACCGTTTACCTTTTATAACTGTCAGGATTGAAGGAAAATACCCCTTGGATTTTTTTTTTTTTTTTTTTTGCCTCTCATCCCTTAAGGTGTGTAACGTCATCCGATATCAAACGATTTAACATTCCTCGCTATTGGAGCGACGGAGAGAGACTGAAGAGAGAGTCGTATATGACGCTCTCTCGAAACGGAATGGTTGGAGTCATTTTTGAGGGTAAAATAGGAAAATATAGAGAGGGAGAAATGTTGAGAAGGGAAAAGAGGGGAGGGGGTAGTTTGATGGTTCATGCGCGAGGAGATTCACCCACGTGAGCCCGTGAATCCGTCTAGCTCGAGAAGTGGACTTCCTGCTGGTTTCAGTGTCGTGCGCGAATTCGTACGCGACGCTTGCCACTTTGGACGAGCTACATTTTCTTCATGATTACTCCACACGTTGATGTCTTCGAGTAATAAAAAAAAATAAATAAATAAATCCAAAATCTTACCTGAAACAGAAAAAGAAAAATTATTAATACAAATTTAAAAATTTTTTTTTTTTTTTTATAATTTTAATTCAATAAATAATTATTTTAGAAATGTTTTTTTCATAATGATTAAATTGATTGACGTGTGGTTAAAAAATTTCAGTGCAAAAGCAAAAGGAAGAGTGAAAGACAAGAGATGATGTAGAAAAAAAAAATGTGCAATTCAAAGTTAATTTCTAATTTAAAAAGAAATTTGAACAAAAGAAATATTATTAGAAAACCCTTGGGGTATTTTTGAGTTTCGATTTTATAAGGTGAAATTCACGCAAGGAACTTTTGTAACAAAGTTGAAAACTGGCTATAATAGAGACGAAAAGTTAAAAAAAAAAAGAACTGTATCCCGTGGCGAATAATATTAAGAAAGGAATATTGAATCTCAAGGCCAATAATAAACTTTCGTGTTTTTATTAAAAATGTCAAGTTTCAATTTAATAAAACTTGTGAGCCAAGCTTTAATGAGGATTTTCAGCTTGAATTTAATGAAAATTGTCAATTTGAATTCTGTGAAAATTCCAATTTTGAATGCAGTGTACGTTTCAAAATTAAATTGTATAATGAGGATATCAAATTTCTCGCGAATGTAAATAACAAATTAGAATTTAATGAAAATGAACATTTTGCGCGAAACACGTGCAAACATTGTAAAGTAGAGTGAAAAAAAAAATACTCTTCCATAGAGTGAAAGAGCGATTGTAATTACAGTTTATATAAAAAAAAAAAGAAAATGACAAAACGAGTATTTAGAAAAAACTGAAATGTCGCGAAAAACTGATTAACGTGAGAAATTTATTTTTTTTTTCCTTGAGCCAATAAACCACTGGGAAATACTAATGACTTGGAGGTTTAATTAAAAGGGTAAGTAGAAATTTCCCCCCCCCCTTTTTTTTATTCGAATGAAAATATTCAGTTGAATTTGAAAAAAATTCAATGCAATATTTTTATTTGAAAAAGAATTCTGTGGCTCAAAATTTTTTTTTTTTTTTGAAATAAAAATTCAAGACGTAATACATTTATTCATGAAAAAATGTACATTTCATATTCTTTTCTTTCGTGTTGAAGTTAAAATCATATTCTCCTCTCGTATAGAGTATAGACATTTGATATTTGAAAGTAACGCGTGCCATAGACAGAAGTGCTAGTTTGAAGATGCTAAATAAGATCAATATCGTGTCACCTGTAGCGAAAAAAAAAAAAAATTCTTTCACTTTACTTTTTCGTGATTTTTATCCTCGATATAAAAAATTGACAAAAAGAAAATACAATTTTTTTTTTCTACGGTAAATTAGAATTTTTTTTTTAAACTTTTTAATCTTCTCGTTACTTTGTCCTTTTTTCTTTTTTACTCTTTCTTCTCCTCTTTTGCTTTTTTACTTTTTGCTGTTTGCTTTCTCTCTTTTTCTCTCTTTCCACTATCCTCATAGATAATTATAAAACTCATTATCTTTCTTATCAATTAGAGTTGATAAATATTTTGCACAATTTTCATATTTCTTTATGTGAAAATATTTTATTGATAAAATTTTTATCTAATTATTTTCTAAATTAATTTATCGATTCTTTAATTAATTTTCTGTCATTTTAATTAGAGACAAATTTTTCTTTATCAACATATTAAAAATTAAAGTTCGTATTTTATGTATTTGTTCCATAAAGTTCCTTTTTTAATATTTATTTTCGTTTTTTTTTAAATTGAAGGCATTATTTTTTTTCATTATAGTACTTCGTACAAAAAGGCATTTTTATATTTTATAATTCTGTCATATTAGCAAATAAATTATATTTATAGAATTTAAATAAATTATGAAATTCCAAAATTCTTTTTTTTTATGCAAAAAATAAGTTCAAAATTATTCAGGTAAAAAACAAAAATAAACAGTGAATTCTCGTGTAAAAAGAAAATCACGATAAAACGAAAATCTAAACTGTCACGTAAATTGGAATTGATATCATTTCACTTGATTTTAGAGCGTTGTGCCCGAATTTTACATTCCCTTTAAATTGCACGTGGTAGAGAGAGCTTTGATTTAAATACTGTGTATAGTACTGAAAACGTGTGCTTCTCTCTGTGTGGGGGGTCACACATACAAATTTACACTTTTATACCAAAAATATACATATATAATATATATATTTCTAAAAATATTGACGATCGATGAAAATTGGAATGCGTTATTCATATTGGCTCTCACGTAAATGGGTAATGTAGTTTCGCGTAATGAAATTTCCACTGGAATTTTATGCTTCTGATGTCTATTAAACTATTAATAGGTGAAATAACGAATTTCTTGGAACACTGCGGATTCGAATTTGTGAATACCATTATAAACATGGCAATAATTGAAATTGACTTTTCGACAGTCAGCGCTGCAAATATTAATTTCCCTATATATGTATACGTTTCGCAGTTACGAAGAATAATAATACAACACGATAATATTATTTAACATTTCATTTTATATATATATATATATAATTTAAAGGCTTTTTATTAATTATAAAATTACTGTTTTATACTGTCATTAAAAGTCTAAAGTGAAGAACATTAAATGTCCAGTGTAATTTTACGATACACTGTGTTCTATTATATCTATTATGAAAATATAGTTTTAATTAACAAAGTTTTATTTTTCAAAAATAAATTTATATATTTTACCAGAGAAATTTGTGAAATTTATTTACTCTCTCATATTGTCGTAAACAAATTATATCAAAATTTTGTAGGTTTTCGTGTCAACTATAAAATTCAATCTCTGGAATCAAGAGAGGAATGTAAATGTAATTTAAATTATGTAAAGTGCTTTATCAAAAAAGACTTGACGCTGGAAAAAAAAAAAAAAAAATTAATAAGACTTTAATTAAAATGCTAAAGATGGTTCAGTGTTTACTCTTGAGAAGAACTTTTCTAAGGTTTCAACATTTCTCTTTTTTTTTTTTTCGATAAAGATTGAAGCGTAAAACGATATTTTCGAACAAGTTTTTTTAAGGTTTACAATTTTACCTCGTTTATATCTTAACTTCTCTCTATAACGCTAACTAATTTCATCAACTTTTAGATGTTTTATATATATATATTATGGATATTTATTTGCAAAAAAGTTTCGTCACAAATTTATTATTATATATTTTAAATAATGTCCATGTTTTTTTTTATTGAACTTAAGTTAAAAAAGTGAATATTAAAATTGATTTTTACAACTGTTTTTTATAACACGAAAATTTTAATATCATTGCTACGATGCGAAGGAACAAAAACTTTTTTCATATTAGATTTAATTTCGCAATAAAACTTTCTTTTTTTTTTTTAAGTAGTGAAATCAATTTTTCTAATTACTTGCAAATTAATAATTTAATTGACAAAATTTACCTTTTAAAGAGAAATATTTTTTTTTTTTTTAAAGAATAAAATTATTTACAATTTGGTAATTTTGAAGAAAGGGATTCTCTGTAGAGATGAAATGTTAATTTGATGGAGAACGAGAGTACAGATATTTACTTGTTATGCTTTAGATAAAATATGGATACGTCGCCAACCCTCGCCTTAGGAGGATCGAGACCTAGAACAGCATTGTTGGCAACGACTGGTTCCGGAAGCGGAAGTACCGATAGGAGAGTGGTGTTTTTGGCTAGCCAGCCCGCCGTTGGTGCAAGTCATGAGACAAGAACATGGCCTCACCACTGGTCTCCGAACACGGTAAGTTCCCTTAATGAATATTTCAATTACTATATAGAATCGTCTTCATTACACGAAAACATAAATATATTATAGAAAAACTTTTTCAGAAATTCTTAGAAAAAAATCTAAAAACCGATACATTTTTATAATTTAAAAAAATTTATCTTTTGGTAAAAGGAGAAAAATTTTGAAAGTATAATGAAAAATAAAAAGTTAATAATTTTTTATGTTTCATTTCAAGATTATTCAAATGTCTATCACACAAAAGAATATGATACTTTTTTTATTATTCTTTTTTTTGCGCAAACTGATGTTAATTATAAAAATGCAAACAATTTGAAAGAATGGATTTCGGAGGAAAAAAAAAAAATAAGCAAGTTCATGTCGAGAATAATAAAATGTTGAATTCGTTAATGGGTGATGTTTTCATAGAAAGTTTTTGAATGAATATTCCGTGGGGGCTTTCAAATCGAAATATCCTGTTCAGTATAACCGTACAGAGAACCTCTATTATGAAACTTACTTTGAAATTGGACACGGGTACATGCCCGTTGAATATGGTCCACACATTTTACTTGTGACAAGCAAATAATTCGTAAGCACAACTAATCACTGCGGAAACAGACGTCCACATTAATAGAGTTGCATATATATATAATATATATATATATATATATAACTTATGCACTATTACGTACTCAACGAATGTTGTGCCACAAATAGTTAAAAGGTCAATTATAATATTTGCGAACAGTTTCACGTGTTAACTTTATATTTGAAATATGAAAAAGATATAATTTAACTATCCGTTTATTAAAATTTTTTGTAAGACAAATTGAGTTACGGTAATTAGAATGTTATATATTAATGACAAGTGAATATAAAACTATTTTTCTTGAATATTCGTTGATATTTTTCATGTTGGTTTTTAATTAAAGAAATTTTTTAGTTTAGTTCATTAGAGAGGTGATTATATACTTTTAGGATACGTTTAATTAAAATAAAATTCCTAGGTAGTTGGGCAAATGAATCTGGAATTTTTTGAAATCGTAACGAAAACATTATTTACTGTGGCAAGTAACGATAAAAGCTAAAGAAGCATTTTATACAGACAAAAAAAAATTATAAAATACAATTTACATTATTTTAATTAGAAATTATAGTCAATCAAAAATATCACTAATACAAAATTTCTAAAATAATTTTGATAGAATTTCGTAAAAGATTCCTACAATTTAATTTTTTCGACAAACAATTACGAATCTAAAGTCAGATTTTTTAAATTCAAAATGGCGGATCCAATATGGCGGAAAATTATTTTAAAATTTTTCACTTGGAAAGTTTTTAGAGTCGCTAATTACGAATCTAATAAAATGAAATTCGTAATTAGCTATTCTCTAAAAATACTTAACGAATTTGAAAAGCATTAAAATTTTTCCGCCATATTGGATTCGGCATTTTAGTTTCCGAAAATTTGACTCGGATTCATTATCAGCTACCTTTTTCTACTACAATTAACAAAAAAATCAAAAACTATTTTAAAAAAACAAAAATTTCGAGAATACCTCCCGTGCAGAAATTGCCACTTTTCATCCCGATTACCGACCTGGCCCCGATCCGATTTCCTGTTCTGGACCAGGGTTAGAAAATTTCTATGGGCCCAACCAGGGTCAGGCCTGGTTGACATATTTAAAATTTTTTAAAAACTAGTGAAAATACATTTATAGCATTTTATGACATTTTTTACTCTCTAAATCTGAATTAGTAAAAATTTTTACTAATTTGAATTAGTGACTCACTTTTTGCTTATGAATTACTAATAATTAGTAAAATTTAACTAATTCTAAAGCAAAAAGTTAGTTTTAAATTTTACTAATTGTTAGTAAAATTTAACTAATTCTAAAGCAAAAAGTGAGTTTTAAATTTTACTAATTGTTAGTAAAAGTTACTAATAATTAGTAAAATTTTACTAATTCATAAGCAAAAAGTGTGTCACTAATTTAAATTAGTAAACATTTTTACTAATTCAGTTTTAGAGAGTAAACGAAACAATTATTCAAATAATTTTTTTCAACTTTTATTTTATTTTCATTTTATAAGGTGTTTTTTTTAGATGCAGATTCATAAAATGAAATAATATTGATAAATTTTATTCTTTTATTTATCAATTAGAGATAAATAATTATAATTTATTGAAAATTACAATTACTATAAGATATGGCAAATTACCATGGACCTGGTCTGCTCCCAACCAGGATTGCACACTCTAAATCTGAATCAGTGAAAATTTCACTGAATTCAAATCAATGGCTCAGTTTTCTTTAATTCACCAGTGGAATTTCACTGGGAATCAGTAAAAAATCACTGATTCTCAGTGAAATTCCACTGGTGAATTAAATAAAACTGAGCCATTAATTTGAATTCAGTGAAATTTTCACTGATTCAGATTTAGAGTGCAGATCAGGCAAATTGGCATGGCCCTGGTCGGGTTCCCCGTTTTCATTTCGATCGGGCCCAGATTAGGTTGCCAGATCTGGCCCCGGTCGTGCCTGATCTGGGCCCAACCAGGGCCTGGTCAAATTTTCTGCATGGGCTGTCAAATTATCACACAATAATATAAATAAATTCGATTTAAATTTTCAAAGAGTCGAGGGACAAAAAAAAATCATTTTAGGCGCAAGAATGTGACATGCAAAATGAATAGAACACATTCCTTTTATGAAAGCAGAATTTCTGTGCATCACTATATATACATGTAGAAGCTTCATTGTCACGAGTTATGCTTTTGGACATCGACCCTTCAACATTAACGACGACCACGAGAAAGAGGATGGGCATTGAATTGGTGGGAAGTTTGAGCTTTAGCAGAAAGAGAGAGGGAGGGGGGGAGTGACGAAATGGGGGAGAGTGAGAGTACAAAATGAATCGGTTGGAATGGATTCCAATGCATTTGGCTCATTGACTGCTATCGGTTGTGTTGACCGGCCTGACGGCAACCAATAGGGATATGTGTGTGGATCGGTATTGTGACTCCTCGCCTCTACGAATTCTGAATTCCCGCCACTCTCTATAATATATATATATACTTGGGTATGAATTCCTTGCGACACGACATGCGCGCATCTCCGGTCACACGAAGAGAGATCCATGCGGAGTTAGAACCGATACTATGAAGCTATCCACGAATGATATTTCGAGAATAGCGAGTGTCCAGAGATAGCACGGTTATTAATTTAACAGTCGTAGTGTGTGTGTATGTGTATCTGTATATACGGGTCAGGATATCCCTTATCCCTTTAGTGATTATATGTCCTTCTGTCATTCTCTCTACTATCTGAAGGATGAACTAGATTGTCAGCAAGAAACATAATTAAGCTCATTCTATTATTATAATGATGATCATTATGATAATAATTTTAAATAAAATGAATTTTGTCTTTGGTTCTTTGAACAAAAATTTTTTTGAAATATTTAAACAACTTTTTGAATAGTTAAAAATTGCCATCAGAAAACGATTTAGATGAAATAATCTAAAAAATTTGACAATCGTTTCTTACTGAGAAATTTTTAATCTTCATTCAAATGTTACTTTTAATGATTCAAAGTGTTACAATATAAAAATTGCTCACAATTTTACTGGAAAACTTTTTAATTAAAAATACTAAAATGTAAAGTTTGTCTAACTTTTGTTTTTACTGTTCATCACGTTCTTTCTGAAATTAGTAAAATTATTTTTAAACATTTTGAGATAATTTTTCTCAACATTTTAATTTCAAAAATAAATGACTGTTTTAAATAATTTTTTCTCTTTTGAGAAAATGAAAGTCAAATTCAAAAAAATGTTTTACAAAATTAGACAAATATAATTTTTGTAATTAAATACCAGTAAAATATTCTTTACACGTTTGGCTTTTAATATTTCCTTGACGTAAATTTTAAAAAACACTATATCAAAAATATATATATATATATGTATTCCAAAGAGTAGAAATGTGTGATGTGCTTTTTATTTTCATTTTTTTTTTTGTGTGGGGGGGGTCTCATTTCCGGTCGGTCACGGTCTTCTCAACTTGTGAGGTTCATCTTCGTACACACGGGTTTACGGGCTCGTTTCCTCGTTACCATTACCCGGAAGTAGCATGCAGTTCCATCAGAAGTGTCCTTACCTACCCGTTGGGAATTTGCATGGATATTCGCCGAGCGAAGTGGAGATGTTACGTTGGGTCATGCTAAATTCAACATTAGAATAGTGCTACTGGTGTGGTCTCTAGATATCTTGCGCTTAATTACTCAGGGTCTTCGATACCTATATATATATATATATATAAGGAGGTGCAAAATCAATTACTCCTTCGATTAACTAAAATTCAGATTAACGACATTTTTTTCCAAATTTTCTATATAAAATATTCCTTCATTTATGAATTATTAATTTTAAATTTAATAAATTAATGCAAAAATTTTTTTACATTTATACGATGAACGAAAATCAAATTGTGACAATAACAACGCCATCTGTTCCTTATATTTTATCAGTCGGTAATTTAAAAATCTAGTTTGAAATTTTGTTGTTTGAATTTTTTTTTTCATTTTGTAAAACACAATTGTTATCATTTCGGTTAATAAATTTTGTCTTCTTTGAAAATGATTTATAATTGGAAATTATAGCAATTGATTAATATTGAAAGGTAATTAGCGGTGAAAGATGGTATTTAAAGGTATTTTAAATGACGTTTTCTCATACAAGGCGTGGCATTTATATCACCAGGAGACGCAGTACGCGCGGTGCTAATCAAAGACAAATAACGCTAGAGGCAATAGGGGAATGAACGTTTCTAGTTGAAATACGAGTTTGTCTTTAATGATTAGTAATTAAGGACGCGAGGAAACTTCTCCTTTCTTACCTTTGTAAATTGAATTTCAAACAAGAAAGATGTTAAAAATATATTTTTATTGATCCATAACAAATATTGTTCACTTATTCGAAAATATTATTTTAATAATATTATTTCCATTGA